TCCACTTTTAACCATGTCGGGCTTCTGATTTTTTCACGATTTCTACCAATGAAAAGTAAGCTCGCACCTAGCAACATGTCTCTATACTGTACTCGAGCTACTTATGGTTATTTTATTCATAAAGGTAGGATTATAAGTAGCCGGCAGGAAAGGTAGTTAAGGTAACCTGCAAAAAAGATGTTTCTTCAACTCATCTGCAAAAAATCTCCAACCAAATCTATTTCGACTCCATATGATATTGAAATTCAGCATAATGCGCTCAGACGGAGCGGCGAATGTTGAATATAACAAATTGATCACTAAGAAGAAGTGTTCACAAGTAGAGGTTTTACTATACAAGAAATGCAGTAGAATTTCCTACACTTTGAACAATTTATTAAAAAAAACAGATGCAAGACAAGTCGAATTCGTTTTTGATGATTTTGTTTGATTTGACTCAATTCGATGTCTGCTCTCATTCCTTAATTATCATAAACTTTACAATTCAAATTGATGTGCTTACAATATTCTCATACACATAGTAAACTTTTATTTTTTTACATGATTCCATAGTTTCAAAAATCTGTTTTTTTGTCTAAACTTAACAAAAAAAAGCTTCTATATGAAAGAGGAAAAAAAGTTGGTGGATCCTCTTTTTGTTTTACTTAATAACTTATAATCCAATATGGATTTTTTTGAAAAAGTTATATTTACCCCATTGGCGATTTTCTTCGTCAACTTTCTCTTGAAGCAGAGGTTTCATCAGCAAACGCATATATGCGGCACTACGAAGAATATCATTTAATTCCAATAAATCATATTCTGTTGATATTTTGACAGGTATTTGCATTTTAGAACCAAAATCTTTGAAAATGTATGCTTGGCATTGGTGAATGTGCATTTCATTCAATGGCCAGTGTCCTCGATAGATAGAAAGACACATTTCAAACCAACGAATCGCTCTTGAATGTTCATTCATTCTGATGAAATGAAGAGCTAAACGTCGTCCAATATCAGCGATAACCTTGTTGGCCTCGTCATTGGCATCCTCGCTCTGAATCTCTTGATAAACGCTCGTTAATCTTTCGTCTATTTCTTCGGCTACAGATGTGAGATCTTGCAATTCGCTAAGACGATGCAAACTAGTCAGTACCATTGGATGCGTTGTCGGTTGATTGCACTTACTGATCGAATTGGCAAATAAGTAACAGTTGGATGCCATATGAACAAGACCTTTTTTTCGGTACATATCTCCTACTTCTATGGCACTGCCACCAATCAGGACTGAATGTTGACAGCGATAATCTTTTGCCTCATATTCTTGAATTAGTTGAATAAATGGTGTATGTGTCAGTTCGAGATCAACATCACAAAGACTCGTTCTACTTTGACCTATATTGAGAAGCGTAAGAGACAATTTTTGAGCTGAGTCACATAGAATTGTTAAAGTTTCTCGACAGAGAGCCATCGCTTCTTTGTTTCTACCCTGTTGTGTCAAGATTAGTACAAGATCCAATCGAATTCGACCGATGACAGAATCATTTATAGTAACATGACTTTTCTTATGTAGATCGCATGCACTCAAAAGAAACTTTTCAGCATCCACTAATTTATTACAACGTAAAGCAATTCGTCCAAGTTCCGCCAACTTATCAATCTCAATTTCTTTATTGTCCGGATTATGATAGTCGTAGAAGAGAAAATAATTCATTGCCCATCGAACACAATTCATATCAACGAGAAGTGAACCAAAGAAAATATTTCGATTCACATTTTCACCGACTTGTGCTTTCAATTCAATGGCACCATCAATAAGTTCTTTGGCAAGATTACTGTTCGAGATCGTTTCCAGACGAAAACGATAACCTTCTAAAGAATGATCAAATGTTACATTTAGAATACGAAATAGAACACCAATATTGAAGAGAACACTATCGTTGGAAAGGTCTAACATTGGAGTATAAATGTCGACATCAATTTCGAATAGAACTTTTTCAAGAAGATTTTTGTTCGTTTGTCGAAAACGAGAGATAATTCTTTCTTGATTTGTGTATCCAATGAGAAAACCAACTGGTGTTAGAAGAGCATCTTGATGATTACGTAGAAACTCGATTCGTTTTTTATTCATCATTGTACCAACGAATATGTGACACGGTTCGTTCAATGTAGATGATAATGCAATTTTTCTAACCAAGTCGACTATGATCGATCGAGCAAAATAAATTGTATCTATATCAGCCTGCTTGAAAGCATTTTGTAGGATTCTTTGAATCACTGTTGACTTTTTTGAATCAAACCAAATTTCTGGTTTTGTTTTGCTATAGACCATTTCAAAATAATCGATTTCATTAAGTGCTGCAGGATTTGTTAAAAACAAACATCGAGTTAAGGATACGAATTCGTAGTGATTACCAACAGGTATTGTTCTAAGAATTTCAACAAGAAGTAAATGCCATAGAAAATGAGCTGACGAAGCAGTTAAATCGGAAGCGGACCATGCTTGTTTTGACTCATAGAAAACAAATTCGACGTTTAACATTGTTTGGAGTTCAATGTCGATTGCAAGTGAAGTAATACAAGATTGTATATCTGGTGAAATGTATGACACAAATGGAATTTCTCTAGTTGAGTTGTACACAAATACTGACAAAGATAGACGTGGAGTACGAAAAAGTTGATCAATTATAGGATAAAGAGCAACAAAATCAATGAGAAGAACAATGCGTTCAGACTGTCGGGTCAAAATGAACTCAAGAGCTGTGGTAATATTTTTTGGACTATCAAAACGTCGCACTTTATATCTGATCAAGTGAAGTTGTGACCAAATTATCGATAAATTATCATTTTCAATTGTAGCACCATCATATATCCACACGATAGTCGCATCGTCTCTGTTGTATTCGGCAATACGTGTTTGACTTCGTTGTTTGTTTATTTCTTTAATTTGTTCTATCGCTAAGGAATGCTTTGTTTCTTCAAAATTCTGTAAAACTATTGGTACTAGAATTACCACAGCATCATTTCTCTTCTTCCAATTATCCAAAGGCCAATCATAAATGACACATTGTTCGATATGAGTATCGGAAGTGCACATCTAAAGTTAATCGTAAAATTTTCTATTAATCAAGTTATTACTCTGTCACAATTGAATCGACTGTGAATATATTACTCTCTTCATTCATCTCGTTTTCTATGAAAAGAACTTATAGACCTCACGACTGACTTTGTCCTGACCTCGTAATGTGTTTAACCACCAGATAATACTGAAAGCAAGTAGAAATAGATGTCGAAATGTTTGTTAATACTGGCTCTGTTATCTGACGCCAAACCAAATACTATTTCAGAATCCTTGTACGTAGTATCATGGATGTGCGTGAACGCCGAACTGACGGCTGCAATTAAAATTAGGCACGTGCCAACACAAAAAACAATTGAAAAGTTTTAACGTTGGTATATACCTAAGTTAAAATTTCTTCATATCTGTATTATCAAGAGTGAAGTAGACCGACTCCCCTATCTATGTTTTGATTTGCTTCTCCGTATGAAAGGGTACCTTATATGCAGTACTTCCAATCAACTGTGCTAATTGAATTCTTAATTTCGACATACACTATTTCTAGAAATAGTCATGTCACAAATGCCTTTACCTGGGTCGTTAATCGATTAATATTATTGTCTTTTTCTAGGAGTGGTACTGTCATCACCGAATAGAAGATATCGAGTGCTGCTCGACGAATTGTGATGTTAAATAAATCATAACATGTTGCGCATTGTTGAAGAATGGATAGATATTCTGGGTCATTTAATTCCTCGTTTGTTTCAAAATTGCGGCATAACAATAACACTTTAATACACACAGCGAGTATTTAGTTACAAATGAAACTTTAGGACACTTCCGCTCCATTCGTCGCTTCGAATAACTTACGAGGGAACCGTTCCAGGTGTCCAACTCCGATTTCCTTCGTTCATACCTCGTTTTATAGAGCACATCGAGTTGGTAAAAAGCCTAAAACGATTTTTGCTCATGGCTCTTGAAGCCTCGATTTTCTGCAAAACCAGTTTTTGAGAAATTCTAAAAAATAATTAAAACCTTTCATAATGAGGCATAATTATAGTTCACACATTTCTGATTAAAATGAGACGTCTCCCAGCTCTATACGACCTTTGTTTACAAAGTTACAGAATTTGCAAGAAAAGCCCTAAATGTTCATTGTCAGCTCAAAGCTGTAGAAATAAGAAGAAATTAACTTAGGACTGTTCTTGTAAATTCGGTAACTTTGCAAAGAAAGGTCATGTAGAGCTGGGAGATGTCTCATTTTAATCAGAAATGTGCGGCCTATAATTATGCCTCATTATGAAAGGTTTTAATTATTTTTCAGAATTTCTCAAAAACTAGTTTTGCAGAAAATCGAGACTTCAAGAGCCATGAGCAAAAATCCTTTTAGGCTTTTTACCAGCTCGATGTGCTCTATAAAACGAGGTATGAATGAGGGAAATCGGAGTTGGATACCTGGGGCGGTTCCCTCGTTAGTATTTTCAGTTTTGCTTTTTTGCCGTGAATAGTAGATGCAAATGTTCTCTGTCAAATGTCAGATAAATTATAAGTTTTCATTATTACTTAGAATCCTCAACAAAATCCAATTTTAAGTGCCACATTTCAGTAGACATGTTCGCGAATCTTGATGCAACAAAAAAGTGTATAGTATTTCATTACTATACTTGAAACAATAAAAAAGTTTGACTTATGGAGAAAATTGAGAATTGCATTGTTTTGTGCTTTTTAAAAGTGAAATTTCAAACCGAAAGTTCAACTCATGGCTCCACTTCTGGTCAAAGGCGTTAGCAGACTGAACTGAAGTCTTTTTTGAATAATGATGAATAATTTGGAATTACTCTTTGTTTTTGAATCAGTGAAACTTTCGCAGATTTTAAAAGTTAAGTCCTGATACAAAACAAACGTTTTATTTAAACAACACTTTTCATATTTTCTTTTTCTTTTCTCAGAAAAAGCCGAGTACCCGGAAGAGAGGAAAAATCGAATTCCATAATCTAATTTTCAGTTCATGACATTTGATATTGACTATTTTCGATGTTTTGTTGAAAGTTTTTGTAGACTTCACTTATTTTTCTGGCTTTTCAGTAGGTCTTGGACTTTTACTTTTTTTAGCTATGCTAGTTTTGTTCAACTAAGCGATATCGATCCAAGTTGAACTTATTCGTTTAGTTGTTTACAAGAAAATGGAAAAGTGGAAGTGTCTCTAATCTGTTCATACTTACTCTTCAGTCGATCGATTATGTCACTTGCTTGTGTTGGTTTATTTCTATTAATTGTTGTTAGAAGAGTATTCATTAAAATCGACACTGATTTGCCAATGTTATATTCATTGGACGAGTCAAAAGTCAATAGCAGACAACAAACATAGAACGGAATATTGTCGTTCTGACTTGCAGACTCGGTGATGTCATCAATCAGCTGACGAAGGAATAGAATAACCATTTGAAATGCACTATGATGTATTAGATGTCTACTCATTGAGAAAATGTACAACTGTGTGATCATTGTATCGATCAAATAATAATTTTGCGACTCTTTAGATAGAAGAATAATATGAGCAAATCCTTCAAGCAAGATCTGAAACGAATCTAGTTCTGCTGCATCAAGAACTGGTTCGTCTAATCGTACACAAATGATTCTTACAAGATGATCGACAATTGTTATTGTTTCTGGCATCCATTTATCAGCTGACAAATGACTTTTCCTTTGAACCCATTGAGCAAAATGTTGAAGTTGTGCGTGGCTGGTAATCATTTGCCAATGATGTCCTCGTGAAGTTTTCAAATCAGCCACATAATGTAGACAATGTTTTAGTATTATTTGATTATCTATTGTAACACTTGTCGTGATCAAATCCTCATTGAAACGAATCGAATTAATATACTGAACAATAGAATTCATTAATTGTTCATGTATAGGATCATTTTGAATGTTGTTCGATTCTATTGTTTGTAGTCGATAGATAGCCGCAATCATAGAATCGACTATTGATACAAATGATTGATCAACTAACTGATTTTTCACAATAGAATTCAAACATTCACTAAGTTCACCGATCAGTGATCTTTTTAGAAAAAATTGTTTGAACAGATGAACGTTGGCGACAGTAATACCGAGTGATAATCGACACAAAAAAGCATTTAAGTTAGACAAAGATTTTGATTGGTTAATTTCATCCGAAAAATCATGATGTTGTCGAGCTTTCTTGAGTAATAGACGATAACAGGCCCAAAGCTTAGAAAATAGATCGTGAGAGAGAATGGTTGGATGGCATAAAAGTTCTCCATGATAAACATTCAAAGTATTCACAATTTGTAGTATCGCTTCGTTCAAACCCTCGTCAATATTAAAAGGTACGTTTAATGAACTGAGTACATCTAACAGATGATTAATTGATTCAGAAGACACAGGATTTCGTTTCATCATTATTCTTTCCTTTCAAATCAACACGATGTAGGTTAGTTTTTGGTGTAAGATACTCGCTAATCTAAAATCAAGTAATGTTTATTTTTTTCTTTTTCTTATACCTGCTTTGATTAAGCTGCTGTTTTAGAAAGACAAGACTGATTTTTCAACTTTCGTCGATAACTTTTTCAAGTTGAAAAAATAACAAGTACTGATAAGAATTCGCTTCTTTTGTAACAAGATCATTACATTCAATTCATAGGGAATTTTCTGTTCTGTAATTTTGCTCAGTTTCGGTCACCACTCTTTTCAAATTTAACGTATAAAAACTGATGTGAGTACAAATATGTTATTAAATCAACTATTTAATTTTTCTGTATAAGTAAGAAGATCAAGTATTTTACCTCATTTAATTCCTTGCATCACCAGTCACAAAAATATACTTGTCTTTTTTTCCGTACGTAGGTTGCAGAGAAAATTCATTTTTTCTAAGTTTTGGGTCAAATTGCTACACTTGTTCATATTTCTCAAAAAATCACACTATTCCATAACAAGATTTTTATATTTTGAATCAGCGTCAGAAACTGACTTTACTTTTATATGCTTTCAAAATTTTCGTCATCTTTCATCGTTCGATAAACAGTTCAGCCAGCATTTTAGGTAAAAACTCAAAGAAAAATATTCAAGGCATTAGACACGATAAAACTATACGCAGTTGAATTCAGTTTTTGATCCTGAGTCAAAATATGAAAACTTTATTATGTAAATGCATGATTGTTATGAATAAAATTGAGAAATATCGGCGAAAACGTAGCTATTTGAAACGAAATTCAGAAAAAAAAATGAATTTTTTCTGCAAGCAAACTATGCAGAAAAAAGCCATGAATACATTTGTGACCTGTGGTACAATGTATCAAATGGGATCAAATACTTGGTTTCACCAGCAGCACAAAAAACCAATCAAATAAGTTTACAAATTGATCTGTTAGCATGCAAATAGAATCAATTTGAATCGTTATCATCAACAGAATTTCATAATTAAGCTCGATTTAATGACATATTTGTGAGATTTTCGTTTAACAATGTATTGTAGAAATAATGATTTTAGTCTGCTAAAGAATTAGAGAGCTCACATAAACTGCCCACCTTACTTTCTCGTTGTAATATATGAATAAAGTGGAGAAGTTATTATGTTTAAAATATTTTATATTGAAAAGAATAAACATAAGAATAACCAAGAATATAATAATAAGATAGAGGGAGAAGATATACAAGATGTATAGAAAACAAACAACTGACTGGAAACCAAAACAAGATACAGTAAAGAGGAGAGAACAAAACCAATAGTAAATAGTGAATAGAATTGGCATCATAGACTGACATCTGTTGACGTTAACAGCATTGCACTTAATTTTTAACATTAAATTTGAAAAGAATGGTTACAAAAACTGAATAAAATGACAGAACATAAAATTTTCTATAAATTGAAATTAATGATTTTTTTGTTACAGAAAATGATTTCCTATTAATTTTTCTTTTTTCAACCTGAAACATCTATTCACGGAAGTTCAAAAAAAATCAGTCTTTCTAAAACAGCAGCATCACCTCAAGTTCTACCGAACCATGTGCAACAG